CGCGCACACACACACACACACACACACACACACACACACACACACACACACACACACACACACACACACACCTTTTAGTATTTGCTTGACATAACTGATGTAAACATAATAAACTTTTTATCTGTTAATATTTTTTGCTGACTGATTTCATAATGTGAGTAAAGGTTAAAAATGCTTTAAGAGGTGTTGTCGAAAAGCCTAAAATTATTAAAATGTGAAATGACTGCAGATTTCAAAATGTCAAAAGTTCAGTGTGTGGCCAACTCACCTCCAGCACTCATTGGTAAATCTTGGTTTCTCATTGGCCTGTGTGATAACCGCTGATTTTAATTGGATGAGGCTTTCATCAAGGGCTCTCTCATTGGTCTGCAGGCCAGTCTGCGCTCCTCTCCTTCTGGTCACCTTACTTCCTGTGCCCCAGGACACTGTTGGGCGCTGCCAGGTCCGAGCCACTTTTCCAAAGGTTGCCAGGCTGCGCTGCTGTCACACGTAACAGCAGAGCGAGGGAGAAAATGATTCAAAGCTCCCTCCTTAAAAACTGTAATGCTATATTTATAAGCCAGTATTTATAAACACATTTGCATATATCAAGATGAAAAGGTTGTTTGAATTGGGGGCAATTTGCATTTGGTGAAACATATGGCAGAGCCACGGAAGCCACGGGCCATGCCTTCATTACCCGATCTTCGTTTCATCAGCTCCTTGCTCTCCTGCTGAGCCTCCCCACGGCGGAGCCTTCTGTCCCCGAGGTTTCAGTGACAGGGGACAATATGTCCCCAAGGTGAGGAGCAGGGGGAAAGCCGCACACACACCACTCCTCCAATGATTATTTAATCAGACTCTTCACTTTGGATCTGAAAGAGGAGAGAGGTACAAAGTGGCGCTTATTACCCATTTGTTCAACGCAGGGAAAAGAGAGAGAGCGCAAAGTGAGCGCTTGAAATGGCAGATCATTCTGAAGAGAAAGGTCCAGAAGAGAGGAGAAACGAGAGGGAAGAAGGAGGTGGGGAGAGGAGACTGGACACAAAAGGGAAGAGGAAAGAAAAGAAAAGAGGAGGAGAGATCTGAGGACAAACAATAAAAAGGGGCCAGACCGCAGAACAAATGACTGAGTTAATGATAAGTCCTGTCATGGAAAAGGGAAACGCAACAGGATTAAACAAAACAAAAAACAACAACCAGAAAACAAACAACAACAAAAACTTTTGGCATCACAGTGGAAGGATATTCTAACATCCATTTTAAGACTTTCATTTCTTGACTCGGATTAAAAATGTGCTGTGTAAATATCCCAGATGTTAATCACAGCCTACAAATGTGCAAAGTGCATTTGTTAGATTGCTGTACAAGTTTGAGGATTTGATACTTTTGCATATTTGCACTTTTAAAACTCTACTACATTTATTTGACTTATAGATAAGATACAAATATGACATATAGAACATTGTCAGCTTGAAAATACTCTACCCAGCAGTATAAAAGGTAATAAAAATAATCAACAAAGTATAAAACAACAAAACTATCAAATTAAAATGCTGCTTGCACACTAACAAAACTAATAGAACTACAATAAATACTGTAATAATAAATCACTTTGAAAGGAAACATTCTGCACATTGGGTACATTTTCATTTGGCACTAGTATATTTTTCAGTACTTAGTGTACTGTATGTACTTTTACTTGACTGTTTTTGATTGAGTTATATATTGTGTTAAAATAGGATCTGAATGCTTCTACTGTTAATTAAAAATGACATTAACAACAACCACTACACATGATACAAACCAAATGAAGCAACAAAAGAGCAGAGAGGAGACTGTGTGCTGTGGTTTTGGGTGGACGTCCTGCAGGTGAGGGCTCAGCCCGGCTCTGTCTGTCTGGCTGCAGCTTGGCGTGCCACTCACACCAGTGCCACTTTGCATGTGCAAAAAAGCCCTGCAGTACTGCCCTCCCCCCGCATGTCAGTGTGTGTGGTCGACCTGCAATTTGTTTAAGTGCTCATCCACAGCCACGGTCTGCCTCTCACAGCAGATATGCTGTTTTCACATGTAGTATCTGCTTTTTCCAGGCTCTCGGGTTGTTTCCAGGAGATCGTTGAGCAGGGAGGGGTCAGAACATGGCACACAGGTCACAGTTGTGTGTCACGGTTTCTGCCCTCAGTGTTTGTCTTTCTGTTTCCATATAGTCTAATTCCATTTGAATAGAGCTGAATTTAGAGCCACGTGGCTGTTTGTGAAGGTCATTCAGGGTATTTCATGGCCTGTCCACAAACATACACCTGAGAGCCTAATGTAGGAAAGACTTGTTTTCTGGCCACCTGTTTTCCTTCATTCCATGTCCTAAATTTGACATAAATCATTCATTTAAAGGTTTTTGAGAGGGAGGTTGTTGAGTAATTAAATTAAAGTAGTTGTTTATGAAGATTTATTTTTTACCCTGCAGCTTTTACAGGTGTGTTTTTGACCCTGTGATGGTGAAATGTGGAGAAAATTAGAACAAACTGAAGGTTTGTAGTATATTTTTTTTTACACTGGCATGTTATTCTTTTAAATGATTCTGGCAGAGAATACATTGCAAATCACTGTGACATTTTACAAATGTGTTTTTGTCCATGGCAGAACAAAGTACTTCAGTGTTATGTATAAGATTTACTGTATTGCACCAAAAAAAAACTTTGACGTGGTGGTACTGTTTAGTAACTGTATTGTACTGTATCTGTATCAGTTGGATCAACTGATCTAAATACATTCACTTGAACTGATTTTAAACTGAATATTATTTAGTTAATAATGAAATAAAAGTGGGTCTGACAGTGGAAATTACAATTTTCTTATGTATTTTTGTTCATACTGTTTTGGAATGACAGAAGCTGTATGCTTCACCAACTTCTGTTTTATTTTTTAGCTAATCATTTCAGCTGTTTATCCATTACAATTAGGTAATTCAGCTGACATTGTGTTGCTTTTTTAGCTACAAGTAACTGTTTCACCTTCTTCTCTATTACTTTAGGAAACATTTTCAGTTTCTCTAATCATTTGCTTCTCTTCTTCATGGATTGAGATACAAAATGACGTGTTTAGGTGTTACAGCTGAGTATGTGGATATATTTCTTTAAACATATTGAACTTTATTTGATTAAATGTTACTATTCCACAGTCTTTCCATTGCAGTGCATTGGTACCATACCCTCTGGGTTACAAGCCTTCTTTACACAACAACAAAGTTCTACAATAAATTTGATTCTTTCAAAATAATCCTGGATAAAACATCTACTGTCTCCATTTTCATTTCATGGAAAAGCAAGGTTTTCACCTGATGACTGTTGATGCCAGTCGATGCAAAGGTCAATCGGCCACCTGGATTCAAACCGTAATCGAGCATCTCACTGAAGAAAGTTTTTCATTTAATCTCATCCAGGCCCTGACAAAAACCACTCCTCAGCTCTGTAAACAGCTGATTCAAAATACTGATTTAATTAATCACTCTTTGTGATAATGGTTTAATCTGGGCCAATAGCCTTTTTTACTATTTTTCTTGCCTCAGTGCAACCCCAATATTATTTCTGTCATTTAGCGGGAGCTAAAACACGGGCAAACAGAATGAGTGCGTCATTAACGCCACGCGTCAACGTGCGGCAACTGGGGGAAAAGCATCCAGTCGGTTAATAAGTAATGACTGCCCGAGATCACAGGAACCTTACTCTACAACAAAACAAGTTAAGCACAAGCTTTGATAATGACTGTTAATAATTCAATATATGTAATTATTGCTTTACAGGAAAGCACGATAGCGGCGGCTCACTGGAGGGATGGTGGTAGCAATTAAAAACGAGAGAGATCGGGGTCAGCAGATCAAGGGGAGGCAGAGTCGTGGTTCTTGTCCAGTCAACAGGCACAGACCTTACAGGTGTTGTTACATGAGAGACATGAATAGAAAAAAAGACTGTTGTAAATAAAGGACTAAATGGGTTTATTTGTGTTCTCTCCTGTTTTGTTTGAACATTTGGAACATCCTCACGTCTTGATGTTACAAAAACTATATTTATTGATTAATGGAAAACCCTCTTGATCTCTGTTGTGACATGCATATCTTTCTCTTACAGCACCTCTCACTGCTGTTTGTGTGTGGTTTCTGCAACCTACTTCCTCAGATTTGCTTTTTCATTGTCTCAGACCGTGATTCGCACAAGCCAAATGTCGAGGTTGCACATTTGCAACTCAAAACTAGCCAGATCTATGGTGAATGTAATCACTTTATTTGTCATACCCAGATTTGAATTTCACAATGAGTGCGTAGAAAGGAGGAGGAGGGAGGGAGAAAACTGGAGAGATGTCTGACTTCTCTCAAAATCAGTGTCTTTCAACAGCCCTCCGCTCCTCTTTGACGGGAAAGGGCATTCACATGCATTTGGTGGCCATTGTCAGAAGCAAAATGACTAATCATAACATCATTGATGTGTTAAAAAAACTACTACTGACGACAGAACCATTGACAACCTTTGCTCCCATCCAGAGAGAAAGAGTTAATTTGATCATGATGACACCAGTCTCCTTCAAGCCCCTTTTCAGGCCAGCAGCAGCTGGGGCTGGAAAAGCAAGAGATGGGATGAATCCTCTGCAGAGTGAGGAGGGTGGGGAGGTTTTGGAGGGGGGGCAACAAGAAGAGTCGTTATTACATCTCCATTTTGGGACTGAGAGGGGTTTCTGAATTGCCCTGAATTGCGATCCTGCATTCGTTCATTCCTATATAGGCCCTCGGAGCAGCAAATGGGCCTTGGGCCAGTGAGAGGCGCTGGAGCTGGAACAAGAATAAGATCACAATTACATTTAAAGCCCAGAGAGGGAAAAGAGAGGAGGAGAGACAGAAAGAAGGAGCCTATGAGCCCTAATTGCCAGATGGTGAATATTTTTGCTCCCTTTCAACGGTGCATTAATTGCAGGGCTGCCCGGGGGTTGAGACGTACTGATCAGTGTGGCAGAGGATCCTGACCCTGATTATCCCCCCTCAGACTCCCTCCCGCCTTTTGGGATTCAAGTTGGAAAGGAGGTGATGGTGATCAGGCACGGTGGAGGGTCTTCTGGGGGTAAGAGAAGGTAAAACTAGATAAGTGTGAGGGGGACTGTGACGAAGGGAGGAGAGGACAGGACAGACCACCCCCCCATGTCTGTCTCTCT